TCTCCTAGCCGGCAGGCCTGGGGGGCACTGGGGGCGAGGACTGGTTGGAGACAAGGAAGCCAGCCATCAGAAGTGAGGGAGGGAAGGGCTTAATGGGGGGGAGGGGGCCACCCCTTCCCCCCTCCCCCCAGCCTTGGCCCAGCCCCGGATGAGACTAGGGTCTGGAGTCCTCAAGCCCTCAGCCCCCGAGGGAAAAGCATGCTGGGGTGGGGAGAGGCTGAGGAGTGGAGTGGCTGGGGAGGATGTGATGCTGGGAGACTCAGAGAGCCAAGAAGGGAACAGGCAAGGTGGAGAGATGGGAGGGAGGGAGAGGACAGGGAGGGGAGGAAGGAGAGGAGCAGGTGGAAGAGGAAGGCAGAGGAGGGTGGGGGTGTCCCAGGGGGTGCCCAGCGCAGGGCCTGGGTGAGAGGGCCTGGCCACCGACTCCTGGTCTCCTGTGAGGATCAGCCTCCGGCTCTTGGTCCCCAGCTGGGCCTGCCTCTCTGCTGCTGGCCGTCACCGCTGCCCACTGCCGCCTCCACCACTGCCACCTCTCCTTCTCCCCTCCGAGGCTGAGGCCGCTGCCGGCCCGCCTGCCCGCCGGCTGCCTGCCTGCCACCCGCGCTGGGTCCTGGAGCCAGGGGGGGCGGAGAGATGAGGGAGGCAGGGAGGAGGGCGGGCTGGAGAAAGGGAGGGAGGCAGGCAGAAAGAGAGGAGGGAGGGGAGTCAGAGGAGGGGGAGCCGGTATTGGTCGGGGTTGGGGGCCCCCTTGAGGAGAATGCTGATGAGGAGAAGGCCCTGCATTGGATGGAGGGCCCACCCCCAGGCCACCCCCTCCACCACACCATGCCACCGCCCTGCCCAGGCAGCCCTTGGGCACTGGAGCCGATGAGAGGTGGGGAGACCTAATAAGAAGGCCGTGCTGCTGGGGGAGAGAGCTGACAGGGATGAAGAAATATGAAAAGAAACAGAAAAAGAGCCATCAAGACCCACGGAGTTGGGCCAGGGTCCACAAACCCCACAAGGACAAGAACAGGGAAAAGCCCAGAGAAACGAGAAAAAGGCCCAAGGAGACAAGGAAGCAAACCACAGTGACAAGCAAAGGACTTCAGAGACAGGGCAGCTGTGGACCCAGAGAGCCCCTGTGAAGATGGAGAAAGGTCTATGGGAACAAAAGCCCTCCTCAGGGATGGGGAGTGGTCCATGGTGATGAGAGAAGGCAATGGACAAGAGGTGCCCACAGAAATGGGAACAAGAAAGCACATCACAGAGAAGGGAGGCGGGCCAAGGAGAGTGAGAGAAGGTCACAGAAATGGGCAGGAGGCCCGCAGACACCAGGGAACCTATAAAGATAAGGATGCAGACACAAGAGGCCCACTGAGGCAGGAGCAGCCAGCCCATAGAGAAAAGGGAGAAGCCCCCAGAAATAGAAATAGCCCCCACAGAGGTGAAGGGTGGTGAGTATGGGAGTTCTCCATAATGCATAGAGAAATCCTTGGGACCTATGGAGATGAGTGGGTGGGGAGTAGAGGCCCTAAATTCTCTAGTCACCTGAAGAGAGGCAGTGGGAAAGGGCAGGGAGGTGGAGGGCAAAGCCAACTGAAATGGGAGACTTCCTCCCCCTCAGGAGGGAGCTGAGCAGGGCAGGGAGCTGGAAGAGAGAAGCAGCAATACAGATCTTGGAGTCGGGGTGGGTGGTGCACGCCTGGGTGGGGGTGGGGGGTGAAATTTTGGGGGAAGAAACATGACAGTTGGTGCTGAAGGCTGAGTCCATGACTCACCACCAGCCCCAACTGCTCGTGATGGGGAGGAGACACTGACACACTCACGTGCAGCACCCCAGCACACGTGACTGCATGCCTCGAGCACACATGTGGCACGTGGCAACTCACACTGGCCTGGCATGGGAAGCCCTCTGCAGCTGGCATGTGGGGCATCCCCAACATACATCTGACACATACATCTGACCCTGAAGGACCACCAACTTTGCACACACCTCCTTTGCTTATGCAGGGACTCCAGCTTAGAATGCTTGTCCTCTCTAAACTGTACCTGTCCCAAAAGTCTTAATCTTGTGCCACCATCTCTGGGAAGACTGACCTAGGCCTCAGTTTACTCCTGTATCATCTGAAGAGAAGGGACTAGCCAACCCGGATAAGTTGGGAGGTACAAGCAGGTCAGAGCAAGAAAGGGGTCTGACAAGCCAAGCTGGCTGGCATTTTCTTTCTTTCTTTTTTTTTCAATTAAACATTTTTATTGATTTTTAGAGAAGAAGGGAGGTGAGAGCAAAGCATCCATTGGCTAGCTCCTGCATGCCCCCTACCAGGGATCAAGCCCCCAACCCTGGGCATGTGCCCTGACTGGGAATTGAACCGGCAATCTTTCGGTGCACAGGATGACCAACCCACTGAGCCACACCGGCTAGCTGGCATTTTTAAGTGGGAAGAGGAGGCCTCAGCAGGAGTGCGAACCTGCCCAGGAGCACAGAACTTGTCAAGGGCTGAACCTAGCTTCCAGGCTCTCTAGCTCCGGCCCCAGGTGATTTCACCCTGAGGGAAAACCCAGATTACCAGTTTTAGAGCTCACTGATTCCCACCAACTTCTTTCCTCTACTTCTTGCACTTAATCCATTCAACATGCCACTGGGTCCCACCTGCCAGGCAGTAGAGCCTGGGGATCATGAGGTAAAAACCTTGGAGTTAACTCCTGGGTTGGAATCCTGGCTCCGACTCTTCCTAATTATAGACAAGTTACTTAACTTCTCTGGGCTTCAGTTTTGTGTGTGTGTGTGCGTGTGATTTATTTTTGTATTTGTTTTTTTTGTTTTTTGTAAAGTGAAAATAATAGCTCCTCCCTCTAGGGTTGTTGAGAGGGATTAAACCGCATAATACATGGAAAGCACTGGGCA